GGCTGGGACCTGCCACCTCTGCTGCCCTGTCCCACCCCACTCTAGGACCCTGCCTTGGCCAGGGCTGGTGTTGCCAGCAGGCAAGGGTGGACAGGGGTGGGAGAGTGGAGACCTCTGATGAAGGTGCCTCGCTCCTCCTTTTTGCTTTTGAGTTCTAGCTGTTCCTCCCACCCTAAACCACTCTACCATAACCCCATGATGAGCTGAAACTCGAGAGCCAGCAAAAGGCCTGTTTTGGCACATACCTGTGCAGAAGCTCCCCAGGCACACCTCTTGCTCTCCTCAACATGAGTGCAACCCCCCAGGTGCTGCCCTACCCAGACCCCAAAGGTGCTGCCCAACCCAGAGCCTCACTGGCCATGGGCCAGAGCCGGGAGAGGGAACGAGCAATTGGGGGACGTACCCAGCCTCCGTTGTCCTGGATCCAGTTGTGCAGGTGCCGGTTCAGGTACTCAGTCATCCAGGCAGCGATGCTGTCCACGAGAGGAGACATCTCCCGGTTGACGCTCTCCACGCACATCACGCCACCGAACTCGAAGAAGGCCACGATCCTGCCCCAGTTAACCCCGCGAAAGACCCCCCCCCCCCCCGCCACAAAGCGGCCCCTGGCCGTGAAGGGCGTCAGATGCAGCTGGCCGGACATTTGGGCAAAGTCCCTCTGGTAGCGGCGGGAGAACTCATCCCCTGCCTGGCGCAGGGTGAGGTGGACGACCTGGGGAACAGGGCGCAGCCCCTCGGCCGGGGGTGCGTGGCTAGCAGCAGCCGAGCCGGGGGGCTCGGGGTGCGGAGACACCAGCCCAGTGTGATCAGAGGAAGTCCCAGCAGCAGCAGCAACCGCAGCAGCAGCAGGCGGAGGAGAGAGACCTGGAGGCAGGGGTGCCCTGTCCTCGCCGGCAGCCCAGTCGTATCCCCTCTGCGAGAGTTTATAGTGGATGTACTTCAGCACTATCTCCCGGTTATCGTAGCCTCTTCTCCCCGGATGAGCCATAATTCCCAAGAGGAAGCAGCAAGAGGAAGGGAGAGAGGAAGAAGAGGAGCAGGATGAACTCAAAAAAGTAAAGCAGCCAATAATAATAAAATTAATAACACCAAAAATTATAATCCAGTTACTGTATCAGGCACGGTTTCATTCATGGTGGAGTAGGGGAGTTCTCAACGTCTCGGAGGTACTTTTGTCTTCTCAGTGTTTCCTCCTCGGTTTGAGATGCACGGTATAAATAGGGATTAAAATGCCGTAAATACTTTACTTCCAGGTGCACATTTATTACTTATTATAAATTTACTTTAGGACCGTTTCCTCCTCGGTGTTGAAATACATCTTAAAAAATATTATACCGACTCAAAATCAGGTGCATTTTCCCCTAGGTGCTGAACTACCACGGACAGGACGGAGCGGACGAACACACACCGTAAAGACTGCAATTCAATACGATTCGCTCAACAGCCCTGGATGAGCGTTAATCCAACACACTTTACGCTAGAAACCTCAACAACTGCTTTTTTCTGTTAAGTTATACAAACTAAATTTCCTCTGTAAAGTACTTACTTGGACTATAAATATGTTCCTCTGTCAAGTTTCCTCTAAAAAAAAAATAGCAACAACAAAACCCAAACATCGCAAGTCTTCAGAAAAATTTAAGTTCTGTCCGCTTTGATGCTTCAAGTCACCAATGGGGAAAGGAAAGGGACAAAAAAAAAAAAAAATTAAAATCTTTACGATTTCAAATGTTTTTTCCCAGCCTCCTGTTTAACAGACATCTCCAAAGATGTGTCAAAGCTCAGAAAATCCCGCCTCGCAGCCCGGGAAGGCGAACAACCCCAAAGAGACGGAAAATCCTGGAGACCAGATGAACCACATTTGAATCCAAGCTCTCGCAGAAGTGCTCCGTTTTTTCCCTCCAGTGCAACGTACAGGCATAGGCATTTACGTAGTTTCATTCAGACACCGATCGCAGGAGCCCGGTGCTTCCACACACACGCACGCACACACCAAAATTTAAAAA